GTAGTTGCTGAATCTCGTACTCAGGTCCTAGTATTGGATCTGCAGATTAGTCGCTAGACAACTACTTTCAATAAGGGCTGCATACTTGTTTAAGTTGGAATTAGTGTCATYGCACTTTCCAGGTTCATTCGTGATAGTKTTCTTCTTCTTGTGTTCCATCCAGTCCCTACTATATTTTTTGGTGAAGAAGAGGCAAGAAAGCATTCCCAGYAAGTTACGCAAGTAGTGATTTACATCACAATTAAAGGCCAACATAAGAATTAGTGATATTTAGGTACAGSATACTATTAGGAGCGATTCCTAGTACGAGTTTCCAGTTTCAGTACCATWGAAAAATTCGAATAGTACCAAGAAAGCATTTCTTGAACGATGCACATAAGGCATACCTCCTTTGCGAACAGCTGGCAGACAAAGTTAAGCGCAATGCACACTCCTTTGGYCACGCGGCAGAARTATATGCCAGASTGGATGGATTTCCTAGTAGCGGAGATGGAGAGGTTTTCGAGTTATTCTTTGCATCAAAAAGCTCTGTACGATCTGGACTATTCCGTAGCCTCGGAAAGGAACAGATCCAAAAAAAACTACGGAAAGAACAGAAACAAGAACCAGACCAACAGCGGTCTGTCCGGTAGCAACAACAACAGCATCGGCAGCAAAKACCAAGCAATCCTCAAGAGTTTTTCATCAATGGAAAACCAGCAAAGGCGATGATAATGCCCCCCGTTCCCGAACAAACCATKGCGCATTGGTTTGACTCGTGACTTTTCTCTCAAGAGACGCTGGTCTGTGTGATGTGTTTCCATCTARGATCGAGCCGCCCGTGATTCGATCCTCAAAGGCCTAATGCGATGCGGCGCGGTGTGTGCATGGCTTGGTATGTTGTGCTGTGCTGTGCTGTGCCGTGCCATGCCGTGCCTATTTCTTGGTCATTCGCGTCTTTCCCCCGATGAGTTTCAGGGCCGGYCGGCCGTGGATCACGGACGACCTCGCGAACTTCGTGCCGCAGCTAGGGCACTCCCACGAGTACCCCGGGTCGAGGCTYTGGAGCACCGGCACCGCCCCATCGGGTTCGGGTTCCGCGGCGGGTTTCGCGCTGCCCGGCGGCTTTGGCTTGCCCCCGGCACGGCGTCCGCTCGGGTTCTTCCGGCGGGATCCCGCCTCGCGGTGGCCATTGCCGTCTCCGTCGTGGTCGCTCCCGGAGGAAGCCCCCTTCGCCGCCGCCGCCGCCGCGAGGATCCCGGCGCAGTCCTCGCTGACCCGCTCGACGTAGCACTTGACGAGGTTGCTCTTGGTGCCGTTCTTCTTCTTGTACCGAAAGAGACGCTCCCGGCACGAGCCGCAGTTGACGCTGACGGTCTGGTAGCTGTCGACGGTGCTCCCCGCCTTTTTGGGCTTGGCAAACAGGGCCACCTGCGCGGATCGGAACGGGCGCGAGGACACCCCGGCCGGGGGGGCGGTGGCCGGGGGCGGAACGGCACGGTTGTAGTGGTTCTGGTGGATCACCAGAGCAGACGACTGTSGCAGGGGAGTGCCGGTCCAAACGGTTCGGGCCACGAGGAGCACGAGCGCATGCTTCGTCTGGTTGCTATAGAGCCTCATTGTRGCGGTATGCAGTTTGGCAGCGGGTAATCGATCGTTGGGCCTTTGTCCATTGCTTAACACGGACTACGGTGCTCTTCGTTTTTTGTGAARATCTGCGGGACGATGAAGGAGTGTAAGGCGAGCATGATGGAATCGTACGGGACGGTATTGTATCGTTGGTAAGAGTACAAGTACGAGTACGTACCCAAGTACAGCGTACAGGGTACAATACAAAATATCTGGGGAGGATACTGTAACATACCATACTACAGTACGAACCATACGTATCGTATGGATTGAGAACGGAAGATGAACCCAGGAAGGATATGACGAAGGTCCATGTCCCCGATGCAGTTCATGGAATTGGCTACCGATATCACTCACTATGTCGACTTTAATGCGAGCGTCCGATTCCGGTTCCCCCTATGGGTTTCGCCGTTCCTTCTTTGTGAAATCCAGTTTTTGACATTTTAGATGTTATCCTCCATACTTTTGAGAGTTGGGGCAGGGGGAAAAGGCAGGGCCGTCCCATCGGAGTGTGTTGCGTGTGGGTGAGGGTGGGGGTGGATAAATCTGTGTGTGTCTAATTGTACATGTGCGCGAATGTGTTGCGTGTCTGTGTTTGCATGGGTGTGCCTGCAGAATGCTTGGGGTATGGAATCGGAATGCAAATGCACAATGCCTCCAACGAAACAAAAATGCGGCCGTGCCGTGCCGTCCGTCTCGATTCGCATCCGCTTGGGGTGGGTCGTACGCACAGAAGCAATCAAGATCGGGTTCCGTGCAGCACCACGGTGCTTTGGTGTTTGGTCTCCTGCCTCCTTTTCTTTGCACCGAACCGAATGGAACCGAACCGAATCGCATCGCATCGCATCGCATCGCATCCAATTCAATTCAATCGCTTCTGCCACTGGAACTAGTTCCTCCGGGACTCGTTGACCTCCCGCATCGCCTCCATGAGCTCCGGCTTGGTGTAGCCCAGATTCTTTAGCATCCTCGCCCTCGTGATCGAGTCCAGGACCAGGTCGTCCCCGCGCTTCCGTTCCTCGTTGGGCCGGTCGCGCTCGTAGGCGTTGATGTGCTTGGTCTCCGTCTCGCCCTTGAGGTGGTCCCACTCGATGGTGGTGGGGACCCCACGGCTCACCGAGGGGTTCGACCCGATCGTGATGGGGTACTTTCTCACCTCRACCGTTCCGAAGCAAACCTCCGAGGTCTGCCGCTTGAGCCTCCTCGACGACGGGGCCTGGCTGCTCCCGAGCTTCATCGACGAGGCCAGYCCCCCCGCGCCGGTGGTTTCTGTTTCCGGCAAAGGGTCCCCCCCGGCTTCCCCCGGGTCTTCTCCGGCTTCCCCCGGGTCCTCCTCTTCGTGCTCCTCGATCCCGTAGAGGTCCAGGGCGTTCGCCGAGAGGATCTTGCCGAGGCCCTTGGCGACGGTGGCGCGAAAGCCGTCCCCGATGCTGTCGTCCCGGATCTTCGGGGTGACGACCGAAGGGTCCGGCTTGATCAGCTCTTCCGGGTTYGCCACAAAGGCGAGGGCGCGGATCAGCTCCTCCGGTTTCATGGTCCGGCTCATGGTGGCGGTGCGGACGTAACAGTGCCCTTGTCGTTGGTTGTTTTGTTGCTGTGTTGAGTGTGTGTTTGTTGGGTCGTGAAACGCCGGTGCAACCTTCTGTCACGCCGTCGTGCAACCGGTGTCTGCGAAGATTGCCCTACAAGCCACCTGCCGCTGCTCGATTGTTTCGCTCTCTCGATGCACCTGGCGTTGTCTCGTTTTCTCCGWGGCAGTGGCACRGAATGTTACTGTATTGCCGCACCGTGGAAAAGGACGAAAAAAGATTTTTCCGAGGCGATACAGCGATGCGATGAGAACCGGAACGGGATTTTGTTCTTTGTTTTTTCAACGCAATTTCTGTTTTTCGYAGTGCAAATTCGTTTTTTTTCATTCCTCGCGATGCACCGGGCAAATCGTATCGTACCGAATCTGCCGCGTGCTAACACAAACGAATAAATCCGGCACGAAGGAGTGTATCGATCAACGACGTGTAACGTAATGTACCAGTATGATTTTGTACCAGTGAATATAGAGGAAACAACTCCTATTTATTGATGCCAACGAAAGGCCAAAGCGAAAATACCGGGAGCTGTTATATGTACCGTACGTACGGCTCCTGTAGTAAGGCAGGACCAATGACTCGAAATTAGACGGAGTTACATATTTAACTGCTYACCGGTACCTGGTGAAATTTATTTGGATCAACGACCAGATCAACTACAGTAACTACTACGAAGTACAGTAGTTACGAACCATTGCCAATGAGACATTGTTACTAMCCTTAATGCCTCCGTCGTTCGTAAAATAGTACTACGAGAGGTTACTTCATCGTGGTTTTCATCCGATGTTCGAATGAAACTAATTCAGTACYCGGTACATGAAAGTCGCACAATTTTTCCCCACGACCAAACGATGGAAGAAGAGAAGATTCGAGGTAGGTCGGGATGTTACGGGATGCTTTCCATGCACTGTACGGTACGTACTGCTGYCCATATCCACCRAKACGGACAAGACGRTCTTTCTCCACCATTTCCATTTCATGACAAAAAGCCAAAACTATTTCAATTTCGCGAGTATGGTACGGTACGGTTCAACCATCTAAAGAACGCTTGAGGCATGCTGTCCGTATGGAAATGGTTGGCCAACGCAGTGGGAACTGTGTTGTGAGAACCTCTGTATCTGGTCGTTGGATTCACCGTTTGCAAACGGCCAAAGTCTACACGGGGGGAAARGGATCTCGTYGATCCGTGCTCGTTCATCMGCCATCCGYGCGTCTCTTCCTCTAGGAGAMGGTTCGCCTGCCAAGAGGATCGAGAAACCACCACCTGTGGGCGGGTGCAACCCTTACAGCCATCGCAACCGCCGCGGTGTGTGTTGGCCACATGAAATTCGTAAGCTCGGCGCGAATGATGCCCTGCCGGTGGAGACGCTGCGGGACCGCGGCCATCTTGGTTCTGCCGATGCCAGCCACGGGGGCAACCACCGCGTGCCACGGTTTCTCAGAGTTCTGAAAAGGGGTTGAAAACGATTTTCTCCGTTTTGGTCGAAATTCCTCTGCTACGGTTCTTCAGCAGTGCGGGTTGSGACGCCGTAGCAAACATTCAGCATGTGAAAAAAATAAAATACAAGACTAGTTTTTATGCGGACTAGAAGCTAGGCGTACAAAAAGTAGCATTCATTCCCATGGATTTGTCGTTTATTGGTTTTCGCGAAGGACCTCGACGACGGACTTGAAGGCGAACCATTCGGGGATGTCTTCTCCTCCTCGGAGCATTTGTCGGAACTTGGTTCCGGACAACTTCTTGAGGCTGAGGTCCTTCTCCTTGGCCTCGTCGGCGGTGACGTAGCCCTCCTCTTCGGTGTAGACAAGGTTGAGGGAAGGAACGGGTGTGACTCCGAGCTTCTCGGCGTTGGCGGCGGCAATGTCCTGGGCATCGTAGGCACCGTAGTAATCTTCTCCGGTGATGGAGGACTTGGATCCGGCCATGTCACGTCCGATGATGAAGTGGGTGCATCCGAAGTTCTTTCGGATCATCATGTGCTGGATGGCCTCACGGGGTCCAGCCATGTGCATGGAGTAAGGAAGGTATTCCCAGAACACACGGTCGTTCTTGGTTTCCTCCTTGAGGACYTCGTAGGTCTTGTATCGGACGACTCCCGGGATGTCGTCGGCCTGGGTAGGTCCGCAGGTAGGGTGGACAAGGACGATGCCGTCTTCTCCGATCAAAGGATCGTCGAGGGCACGGGTGAAGAGCTCGTAGTGGGCTCTGTGGACGGGGTTTCGGCACTGGAAGGCGACGACGTCCTTGTCATCGGGGAGCTCGGCACGGACCTCGGCGGGGGTCTTGCAAGGGAAATCACGGACGGGAGWRTTCAATCCGGTGACCTTTCCTCCCATGTAGWACTTTCCACGCTCGGTGGCAACCATGAGAGTTCCGGGGTGCTCCAAYTCGGAGGTTCCGTAGCACTCCTTGGTCTCCTTGACCTTGTTAGGGGTGAACTTGTCGGTGAATTCGATGGTGGCAATGGCCAAATCTCCTTGCTTGAGAAGGATGGTGGTTCCAGGCTGGAGGTCTTCGTCATCGGTGTCGAAAACGACAGGGAGTCCGAAAATGGTTCCRTCGGGAAGGGCCATGTTCTCGACAACGGAGTCGTAGGTAGCTTCGTCCATGAATCCGGTGATGGGGGAGAATCCTCCGTTCATGATGAGCTCGACATCGCACAACTGACGCTCGGTGGCTTGGAGGGTGACGGTGGCCTTGGCGATGGCGGCTTCCTTTTCTTCGTCGGATTTGACCATCAAGTCAACCAATTCACCTCCTCCGTGGGGGACTTGCTTGGCCATCTGCAAAGCACTGTATTGAAATTGTTTGTATTTATCAAGATCGTATTTCGACAAGATCCAAATTTTTCATTTTTTTTGTCCGATAATTCGGTGGTTTTTTTTTTTCGTTTTCATTTGTCGTCGCATTGTGTTCGTGACAAAGGATTCTGCGTTAGAATGATCAAGAACGCTTCACATGTTGATTCCAAAGAACCGCGAAAATTAGAACCCAACGTCTTAGATCAAAATGACTACTTACGATCCGGTGAGGAGAGGGGCCATGGCGGTCGAAGCGGGGATAGACGCAACAGCGTTTCCTCCGAAGCGAGGGGTCATGGTGGTGAATGCCGAAGCACTGGCGGTAAGAAGGGCGGCGGCGACGGCGAATTTCATCTTGAATATAATATTTTATTTTATTTTACTGTCGATGAAAAAGAAATTGTGTGGATATGTGTGGCAGTAGGATCCTTGTCATTTGTCGTTCGAAAATGCCAGAAACTTGGAATTTTGGTGGGGTATCCCGCTATGACGTTTAATTTTCAGACCTCTCGTGCCTCGTGTCAGAGAACATGAATTTACAGTACGATGCCATCGTGCGGTTACCAATAGGAAAACAATCCCGTGGCGCGCTTTCGAGATTCGAGACCGCGGAACTGTGTTTAGCAAGGGAGAAGAAGGCAGATTGTTTTGTCTGAGGAGCCGACAACCATCCATCCGAAAACCTTAGAAAACATAAGGGGCTACGTATGGGGCTTTCGATCGTCGAACGAGGTATGTTTTTGTGCAGGTCACATGCGTGTTAAATCCGACTACGTATGTGAATGGAATAAAATATGACTCGATCGATCAAAATGTGACAACTGGTCGCCAAACCACATCGTCACCGAAAAAAWTTTGTTCTACCCGGTATTTTTTTCAAATCCATCGGTCGAAGATCCAAGTTTTTGAACTTGCAACTTTGTTGGCGTCACCAAATGTCGGAAACAAAAAGTTTGCTGTTTCCGGTTTGCTGCATTCAAAATACTTTTTGTGATAAGTGCCAAGTACTTCTTCGAATTCGGCATCGTTTGAAAGAATTTTTGGATAGAGAGTCAAAGGTTACCCTAGAAGAAGGAAGAAGAATGAAAAGCGGTGTTCTAACTACTATTGCAGTCCTGCTCTACTCGGCTCAGGTGAACGCAATCAGATCGACGACGGTAGCATCGTCGCTTCTCGGCAACAATAGCGATCGACCAAGAAGCAAGTTGCTAAAGATCCGGGGAGGTGATGGTGGTAGCAGTGACAACATCATCGGGAATGCGTCTTCCGTGACGGTGGTTCCAGAGGAAACTCTACCGCAAGCAATATCAGGTATGTCGTCAGAAGCCTTTCGATTCAAAGATACCGAAGGCGGACGTGACCATGCAAACATTAGTGCATCCTCCCCTGCTCCTAACAACTACCCTTCTGATACTGCTACCACTACTTCTTTATCGTTGTCTCCGTCCAACTACCCGGCCTTGGCTACGATCCAACTTCCAAACTCTTTTTCTCCACAACAACAAAAATGCAAAGGAGGAGACGTCGAAACAGCCACAGACGTTGCAACCGAGGAGGATTTAGCGATGAAATCTGCAAAATGGAACGGATTGCGCAACCGCATCCTGTCGGCGGCCGGAATGATCGCTTCGTTGGGTGGACTCGCCTACTATGGCAAGGAAGACGGTCTATCGGTCTTCGTGGTTTTCTTGCAAGCGATGATGTTCAGAGAGATGTCCGCGACCATCGGTGGAGAGGACTGGGGAGCGATCGGAGCGACTCTGCGAAAATACTGGTGGTTTGCYACMGCTGCCGTTGYTTGGAAYGGACCAAAGGTATACCCTTGGATGCAAAAGAAACTGGAGGCCGTCGCCTTTGGAATGACAGTAACCGCCGGGGTCGTCACRTCCGTTCTTGGGTTCCAGCACAAAAAGAGTGGAGTTGCCGATTTCAGGGAATACATCCGACAAGCCGCGGTATCCCTTCTCAGCGCCGCTCTCGTGATACTGCCGTCTTCATTCTGGATCGGTACCCTCGAAGACCACGGGATGAAATGGGTTTTCGCACCTGCGGCGTTGGTGGCCATCAACGACATCATGGCGTACGTCTTTGGAAAACTCCTCGGCAAGCACCCGTTGTTGCCATCGATCTCGCCAAACAAGACCTGGGAGGGATTTCTGGGAGCCGCCTTCTCGACGGTGGGAACCGCGTGGGTGGGACTGGCTGACTCGAAAGGGGCAGACCCCCTCCTCGGACCGGGACTGGAAGGCGTCACCCGAATGGACGGGATGGTCCTGGCGACGTTTGCTTCGCTCGTGGCACCCTTTGCGGGCTTCTTCGCATCGGTGATCAAGCGAGCCTACGGCCGAAAAGATTTCGGCAACACGCTGCCCGGACACGGAGGTTTTGTCGATCGGTTGGACTGCCAGTTGATACTCGCTCCGTTCGTCTACTTCTATCTTGCATTGTACAAATTTGCGTGAACAGCAACAAATTAAGCAAACACCAAGCTCAAAAGCTGTGGAACCAAACAATATGCT